AACTCCTCTTTTAGGCTTGGGCTGCTACTGGGAACACTACCATAGAACAAATGTATAATTACCATCTCTTAGCCATACCACAGTGAAATTCATCTCACTCTTTGCGGACAAACAAAAACAGGATGAACGACAATGATTCACTATTACAAGTTCTTAAGAAAAACAGGTTGCTTACCTGTAACTGATGATCTTCGAGTGGTCATCTGTGCATTCACACCCATGGGATCTAGTGCGCACGCGCTGGAGCAATCGGCATTGTAGCAAGCTCTTTAACAGATTTTCTTCGACGTGGTCTCTGTGCTTCACACCCATGGGAGATTAGCGAGCAGTGGCCTACCTGGAGGAGCGTGCTGGCAGGTCCTTACTGCGTAGCTGAAGTCAAGATGTGACGTCCCATGCTGGTATTAGAGTTCTTACGGACGTCGAGGGCGTAGTGCCTTATGAAGGTGTTAGGCGTGGCCCACGTAGCGGCTTTGCAAATGTCAGTCAGGGGCACTCCCTGGAGGAAGGCAGTGGAAGCAGCAACAGCTCCGGTTGAATGGGCCCTGATAGGGCCGGGAAATGGCTGTTTGGCGATCAGGTAACAGAGGCGGATGACACCCACAATCCACCTTGAGAGGCACTGAGCCGTGATGCGAGTCCCCAGCCTTGATGGTGCATACGAGATGAACAGTTGGGAGTCACGTCTCGCTGGGCGGGTTCTGTTCCGGTAGAACAGGAGTGCACGTTTCACATCCAAGGTGTGTAACAGTCTCTCCTCTGAGGATGTCTGAGCCGGGAAGAAATCTGGGAGGAAGACCTCTGCCTGTAGGTGGAATTCTGACACTACCCTTGGCAGGAACGAGATGTCAGGGACGAGGCGGACACCATCTGGCAAAAAGGATAAGTAAGGTGTGTCATGTCTGAAAGCCTGTATTTCTCCAACTCGCCTCACAGAGGTGACAGCAACCAGAAAGGCCGTCTTCCACAACAGGAATTTCATGTCGCAAGTTGCGAGTGGCTCAAAGGGTTTCCTCATGAGCTGACGAAGAACTAGAGGAAGGTCCCAGGGAACGACAGGAATTTTGATGGGAGGGTAAAGGTGTAACAGTCCCTTTAAAAAATGTTTTTAAAGCAGATGCGAAAACAGTGTGCATCCGTCAACTTGAACATGGTAGGCCAAAAGTGCGGCCAAATAAACTCTTAACGAGGAATGAGACAGTCCCGAGTCAGTGAGGGACAGGAGGAATTCGAAAACTTTCTTGAGACCCACGGAGGTGGCTTGAGGGACATCGTCATCCAAGGAGGAACAGAACCTTTGCCATTTGTAATGGTAAGACTTTCACGTAGTAGGCTTTCTGGCGTTTAGCAAAACGTTTGCTACGCGGGTGGAAAAGCTGTTGACGCTATTCTCCAGGCCGTCAACTTCATCCATGGCACGTCATGGTACAGGAGAGGTGGGTCGGACAGGAAGAGGGGGTCCTGTGCCGAAGGAAATTGGTGGTAGATCCCTGCCGCCAATTCGAGGATGGTCGAGAACCATGGCTGCCTCGGCCACCACGGGGTTATCAGGATGCAGTCTGCTCTGTCGCTGATGATTTTGCGGACTACTCTCAGGAGCAGGGGTAGTGGAGGGAAGAGGTAGAGAAGTTCCCTGGACCACGAATAGAGGAGACCATCCCCTAGAGACCGTGGGTCCCTGCTGCCTCGGCTGCAGAACAGAGGACACTTTTTGGTGGCTCTGGTGGCAAAGACATCGACTTGGGGAACTCCTCACCTGTGGAAGAGTGGGAGGAGGTAGGTTGGGTTCATTTCCCACTCGTGGAGACTGAGTGCTGCTCGACTTAGATGGTCTGCCTGCACATTCATGTGCCCTGGGATGTGCGTGGCTACTAAGAAGACGTCGTGGGTGATGCAAAGGTCCCACAACTGGATGGCAAGGTTGCAGAGGCATAGGGAGACCATGCCTCCTTGCTTGTTGACATAACTGAGTGCAGTGGTGTTGTCCGTGAGGACCGTAACACATTTCCCTTTGATCATTGGTAGGAAACTCGTGACAGCGAACTGTATTGCAAGCAGTTCCAGGAGGTTTATGTGCCGTTTTTGTTCGCGAGTGTTCCACTTGCCTCCGACACAAAGACCCATAATGTGGGCACCCCAGCCCGACAGGGAGGCATCCGTGGTTAGGGTGATGGACGATGGAAGGGTGCTCCCTGGAAGAGATTGGAAGGGACAGTCCATCAAAGTAAAGAGACTCGTATGTTGGGAGGAGGGGTTAGGATGGTGGTATGTGCATTTTCCGACGGGTTGTACTTGCGGATAAACCACAGTTGTAGGCGACACATTCTTAATCTGGCAAAGACCAGGACCAACGTAGTTGCGGCCATAAGGCCAAGTAGCCTCTGTATCTGGAAAGCTGTGACTGAAGGCTGGGTACGGATGACATTGGCTAGGGAAATGATGTCTGCCGCTCTGTCTTGCGGCAGGTAAGCCATGCATGTCTTGGAATCTAGTAGGGCACCAATGTACTGTATTTTCTGAGCCGGTTGAAGCTGAGACTTTTCCCGATTGACTTGCAGGCCCAGGTTCTCCAGGAGTGCCCATGTCTCATTGATGTTTGAGACCAGGGCATCCCTGGAGGATGCTACCAGGAGCCAATTGTCGATGTACGGGTAGATGGAGATACCCTTGAAGGCCACAACGACAAACGCAGGAAGGCCGCAATGACAATCATAGCCTTTGTGAAGACTCTTGGGGCACTTGAGAGGCCGAATGGCAGGTCTGCATATTGGTAATGCTGTTGACCAATTGCAAAGCCTAGGCATTGGCGGTGGGAGGGGTGGATGGTGAGGTGGAAGTACGCATCTTGGAGGTCGAGGGTGGCCATCCAGACATTTCTCTGCAGGAGTGGCATAATCTGCTGCAATGACACCATGCGGAAGCGGTGGTAGGTGACATAGCAGTTCAACGCCCTTAGGTCTAATATAGGTAGAACGCCTCCATCTTGCTTTGGAACCATAAAATAGCGAGAATAGAACCCTTTCCCGTGTAGAATGGTGGTACCGGTTCAATGGCTCCTTTGTGCAGAAGGACGGATACCTCCTAGGAGAGGTGGGGAAGGGTGTGTGGAGACGACGACAGGAGTAATGGGGTTCAGGTGGAATTGGATACGGTAGCCTCGGGTTACGATGGACAGCACCCATTCATCCATGGTGATATGATGCCAGGTGTGAAGGAAGGGAGAAAGATGGGTTTGTGCTCTCGGTAGGAGGGAAGTCAAAAGCCCTGCTTGGAAGACTTCACCTGCTTGGTGCGAGACGACTGTTGTCCGGATCCAAACCTGGGTTTGTGAAAGTTGGGTTTTTGGCCTCCCAAAGACGTATGTGGTCTCCATTGTCTGTCAGGAGACTGACGATTCGCGGTGCCAGGGTCTAGACCAAGCACGAGGGCGATATTGTTGCCTCGTGAAAGATGAAACCCCTAGAGCGCAAGAGGCCTTTATGCACTTATCCATATCTTGGAGTATGGAGTTGGTAGTGCTGTTGAAGAGACCAAGGCCATCGAAGGAGAGGTCTGCGACATAAGACCTAGTATCTTGTGGCAGGTTGGTATTACGGACCCAGGAATGGCGTTGTAAGGCTATTGCTGAGGCCATTGTTCTTGAGGAAGCGTCTAAGGCATGTTTGGAAGTCTTGATCTGCTGCTTTGCAAGTACCATGCCTTCCTTCTGAATAACTCTGGCTGCCTGAAGCTTGTCTTCAGGGAGGTGAGTCAGGAGTTCAGAGAACCTTTCCCACAGAGTGTATTGATATCTGCTCATGCAGGCTAAGTAATTTGTGGTCTTCACGCCCAACGCTCCCGTGGAGTAGAAGCATCTCCCAAACGCGTCCAATTTTTTACTTTCCCTGTCCGAAGGGGCAGAGTGTGTTCGTTTGGACTTGGACGAGAATGTTACAACCATCGAGTTTGGCTGAGGGTGGGAAAATAAAAATCCGGCTCCGGTCTCCTCGACTCTATACATGTGGTACAGGCATCATGTGGACACTGGGGCCGAGGAAGGTTTCTCCCATGGTGCCTTCGCAGCTTGTAAAAGGACCGTGGACATGGGTAACGCTATGGTAGTAGAGGTATCCAGTTGCACGATATCGAAAACAGCATCTGTAACCCGAGGCTGTTGTTGTACGACTGAGATGCCTAAAGAATGGGCCATTCTCTTGACAAGGTCTGCATATGAAGTGAGATTGTCAGACGGAGATATAGGTAGATCATCTGCGACAGCTTGGTTAGGAGACTTATGGGTCAGGAGAGGTGTTAACCTCAGAGGCCTCCGTAACAGAATCCTCTTCTGCAGAATCAGAGGAGCCCTGATCTGGCTTTTGAACTGGAGTGACTTCCGTTTGACTGGTTAAAATCTTTGGTGGTACGACTTGGGGGTTGGGAGGACCACATATTTCCATTTTATGGTGGGAAGGAGCGTCGGGGCTGGAGGACGAGATAGAGATGCTGAAGGTCTAGATTTGTAGGGCGACCTTGATCTGTGGACCGAGTGGGTCGAATACCTATCCCTGTCGGAATAGCCCGCCGGAGACAACTACGGCACGGACGGTGGATAGCCCTCATAGAGATACCTCAGTTGGCATTCATCCCAAGACAGAGGTGGGGGGGTAGAAAGACTCAGGGGGATTGACTTCTGGATTGGGTACGTCTCGGGTAGGATGACTAAGGAGCTGCACCGTTTCGATATCGGAGTAAGGACGGTCTTCGAGCTGTTGTATAGGGGAGTCCAGGAGCTGGATGGTCGGTATCGGTGGAGCGGGATGGGCCTCCGATGCCGATACTGCCGTTGGAGCGGGGGACACTTTATCACCCAGTGCAGTCACCGCTACCTTCCCCTTCTTTGCCGCCTTTAGGGACTTCGAGGAGCCCTTTTTTGCGGACTTAAGCTCCTTACTTGACGACTTGGTCTTCTTCTTCACCGGCGTGGAAGCAGAGGATTGCGCCTTCGATGCCGGAGGCTTCGATGTCAGTTGGCCGATGTCGGAGGAGGGCCTCAATGCTGGAGCCGTCGATGTTGATGGTCTCTCGGACTCCATTACTGATGGGGGATGTAACGGCGACTCAAGAAGCGCCACTTTAAGGCGTGCAGCTCGATTTTTACTTGTTTGGTTCGAAAACCGAGCACAGTGCCGACAAGACTCAGGTTGGTGAGATTCCCCCAAACAGAAAATACAGAGGGTGTAGCAGTCAGGTGGAGCAAGTTTACTGCCGCAACCCTTGCAACGGTTGAAAAAGCCCCACTTTTTCTCCATAAAAAAATTAAAAACGGAGAAGAAAGATGGGGTTGGGGGGGGCAAAGGCCAAACTGAGGTAAATCGCCAACTCCCCCCTCAACAAAAAACAACAACTTTAAAAAAAAAATTCTTTGAAGAACAAAGGATAAAGAATAAGGAAAAAGAAGAAACTGAGGAAAAATCCGAAGAGCCGTGAGGCAAATAGCCAAAAAAGCGAAACGATCAGACTGATGAGAAAGAGGTCTTTCCAACTCGGCAGTAAGAAAGGAACTGGCGGGATGTCCGCGCCCACCCCTCTGGGCATGTGCGGTAGGGTTCCTGTGCATGCCCGATGTCTGGGCGTGAAAATCCGTTAAATGCCGATCGATCCAGCGTGTGCGCACTAGATCCAATGGGTGTGAAGCACAGAGATCACGTCGAAGATCAAATGTTATCAGATCCAGTGTAAATGCATATATCCAGCTGTTCCCAACATGGCTGTGGCACCTTTAAAACCAATAAAGGTTTATTCAAGGTATGAGCTTTTGTGTGCACACAGGTGCCACAGGACTCTAAATTTGTTTTGCTGCTTCAGACCAACATGGCTGATTACCTGAAGTTCTTAAGAAGATAGCCTTTGAAAGGCTGAATAAGGCACTGTCAAGCTTAGGACTTTTATCAGCCATGTTGGGAACAGCTGGATATATGCATTTACACTGGATCTGATAACATTACTCCATAGTTAATTAAGCTTTAATTGTCTAATCTGTGGGCTAAGCATTATGAGTCTGCTGATTTTAAGCTAAGCATTAGGAGCACCCTGATTTTAAGACATGTCTCTGAGAATTGAACAGAAAATATCAGAGACAGCCTTTACTTCAAACAAGGCAACAGGGTTTCTTCACTAGATTGTGAGCTCTCACCTTTAAATGTGTTCAAGAAGGTGCTTATATCGGAGTTCAGTAATGTAAACATTTAAAATGTAACTGATTAATTGGTTAATGGGCAAGCAAATAATCAGTTGCAAGTCCTAACTTAAACCATTTTGACATGGTCCTTTTACAGTTCCGCAGGGCCTGTAATACGGAGCTCTTCCACCAGGCTTTCAATTAAGGCACCGCTGCTAACATCGTTGCCCTGGCCCCAACATCAGCACCAAATCAATATCTAATAGCCTGGCAAGGACCTGGACAATGGTGGTGGTTGTTATCTGGATGCTGAAAGAATGCCGCCATCGCCTATCTCCTGTATTTACTAGCACTTTGAAATTGTGATGGTTTTAACGGTTTTATCTGTTTTAAAATATTTTATGTTTTACTATATTTGTATACATGCCCGTAAGCCGCCCTGAGCCCGCCTCAGTAGGGAGGGCGGGATGCAAATCAAACAAAGAACATAAATAAAATAAATATTTAAGTAATTCTTGAATAAAAATTCAAAGTTTCACAGGTAACTGAGCTGAGAGAATGTTTGTTACTGAGCAGCTGTACTAAGATGAGACTAGAAAATTATCTTTTTTACTCAATGCCGCAACAGACTGATTTGGGAAAACTCTGCTATATTCCTCTGATGCTAATAAACAGAAGATGAAAAGCAGGGGACCAGTGAACATTCACAGGAGACAGAAATCACATACTCTTCCTACTAGTCCCCAATTTTCCCCCCTTGCTTGCTCCCCCCATCATCACTTCCTCCCCATCCCACCCATTACCATTTCCACCCTACTACCACTGCCATTTTCATAACCTCACTCTCCCCTTCACCACTCTCTCAAACTCCAACCCATTGCTGTTTTCTCCTACTGCCACTTTCTTCCCCCCTCATACTGCTACTCCCCCCCCACCTCACATCACCACTTTTTCCTCTCTGACAAATCGTTAGAGGTTTTCCCTCTTCCAGTATTTCAGTTGCTGCCAAACCACACAATGTCAAACATGCCTTCTTACATCTTAGATGTTGTGGGGGTTCTTCCAAGTTCGCTAGGTTTGTGGGCTTTGTTTGTTTTTAAGCCCAATTTTCCTTACCCATTTTCCAGATTTCTCTGCAAATCCAGGCTTGTACAACTATCCCATACAAATACTAAATACCCCTAGCCCCAGTTGCAGATTTTTTGATCCACACTCTAGAGTCTATTTCAGAATTAGATATATAGATAACACTGCAGCATAGAAGCATATATTCCTCAGTGCATATCACTTTGAATTAGGTACCTGGGCTCAACAGCAGACTTTTTGTCTGTCACCATTCCACTGCCCTGTGATGAGATGAAGTCATCCTCATACGAATCAATACTAGCTGGAGGGCTCATTACTGGAAGTGAAGGTTGCTGGACTGGTGATCCCGGTCCTGACCGTTCCTCAAATCCTAAAATTGGGAAAAAATTGAAAATTGTTACACAGTCTAAATTTCAGAAAGATTTAAACATCTCAACAAAGGCTAAGGCAAGCAGTATTCCAGATGAATAGAAATCCAAAACTACTGCTGTTTCAGTCTCGTCTACACGGATGCACAATACTTTCAAAGTAGACTTTCTCTGAAAAACCCAATGTTGAGAAGTGAGAAGACACATTTACTGAAGACAGTAAATGAATCCAACGTATGATATTATGTGCCAGTATTTCCTAAACAGATGAATGCAGTATGGTGAAGAGGTTAAAACGCTGGATTACGACCTAGAAGACTTATTCCACTTATTTCTAGTTTCTATTCTGCCCTAACACTTGCTAGGTAGACTTGGGTCAATCACTTCTTATCAATCTAAACTGACTGTTTACAACATTTGAAAAATTAATATGCACAAAAAATAGTCAAAAAGGTTTGTTATCAATCATTTATCCTTATTCTATTAGGCAGAGTTTTTTTCTCTGTGAGGATACTTATTTCCACCAACAGGGGGCTCACTCTCCCCCAACAGCTTTTCCTACATAGTCGGTAGACTTCCTGGGTTTGTAGAAAAATCCAAAAACTAAGAAAATTCCTTCAGGGACAGCTGAATTCCCACCAAAAGCTTTTGAAATGGCCTCTGCGGGGATCTGCTTCAGGCATCAATGGTGAGATTAGAATGTTCGGGG